TTTGTTTCAGAAGTTCTGTATTTTCTACTTTTATAAAAGGTGGTAGATTTCTTTTTCTGAAAATTATTATAATTATTATACATTACAGCATCTAATTCTAATACTGCTATTTCTGGCATGCTTTAATGATCAGAATATGATCAGAACTTTTGGAAAATTACATTTTTTGCCATATAAGAAACAAACATTTTACCTGCTCCCACACACATGCATACCTGCACCTGTTATAAATGTAGCGATAGGTGCTGAAATCCATATATTAAAAAAATCCTATTGCAGGAATTTTTGTACTCATAAAAATGTTTTCTGTAACATGTCACATACACCAAAGCATCTAGGCAGGCTTCTTGTGTGGGTTCTCAGCTCTTTGGAAACACCTGTACAGAATAAGGGGTGGATAATCAAGCAGTAGAGTCTTGGAGAGTTTGAGTGCTACTGGGCTATTGATAAAATGCCACACAGCTTCTAAACTCCAAAAGAGCAGAGCTCCAGAGACTCTCTGCTGTAATTTAGCAGTGGCCCAGCATCATATCAGCCTATCTCCAGAGCACTGAATCCTGTCTGCTGCAGGGGTTTGGCCTCCTTCAACAGAGTGCCGGTCAGTGCTGCAGTTCCCTTCCAGGACCAACCCAGATGCCAGGTGACTGCGGTATGAAAACACCGGCCATAACATACAGCCTAAAGAAATATAATAGACTTGCTCTAATGTTCCCTCTCATGTTGAAAGACATTTCAGTTTTGACTGCAAAATTTGACAGCTCGGCCATTATTTTTACAAAAAAAAAGTGAAGCACAACAACACATCCCTCTACACATTAAAATTAAGAGAGTTCCTTGTGTATTCCTGGAGAAATCTGTCAAATTCACTGCAAAATGTATTTGTTAAAATCAGATATCTTTCACTTGCTTACCAGTGTGTCAAATAGCAATTAGTTCTCTTCATTGCCGTTTTCTCCCTCTTCTCCTTTAAGATACGCCTGCAGAAGATGATCCATCTCCCTGTGCCCCCCAGTCTGCACATGGGCGGCAGTGTCAGAATGGCACGGAGTGCAAGGCAGGCTGGGAGGGTCCTAAGCACGGCATTACGAACTTTGACAATTTTGCTTTTGCCATGCTGACGGTGTTTCAGTGCATCACGATGGAGGGCTGGACAGATGTACTGTACTGGGTACGTATCCGAAAATGACAAGCTGAAAGGCCTGTTCATGTGCTCTGGCTATGTTGAAACTTTGGGGGTTTAGCTTTCTTGCGTGTTCTATATAGTGAAGGCATGGTTGCTAGCATGGAGCTTTAATTAACTCAGAATATTAGTGGATAAAATGGGAGGGTTTATCTGGCACAGTTAAATCAAATGTAAATGTTGAGTTTCCATTGATATTTTAATGTTGGAAGATGGCATGTGGCATATTGGTTTGAAGATTTGCAATGCACCTTTGTTGAGCAGAATGTCATGTAAAGACCCTCTCTGCAGGAGTGAAATATCTCGTACATCTCCGGATTACTGATGTAGAAGTATTTGTGACAGATAACTCTGTGCTCTACCCATAGCATTAATGTTACACAGCCACTACGCTGATCAGCTCATAGGTTTTATAAGAAAGGCCTCACCAATCCCTCTTCATGCCAGCACGACTCCTGATTATGACTTCCATCGTAATAGTATTAGAATAAATTGTCGTGACTCTGATCTTGGTATCGATCATAGTTACATGTTTAGCCGAAACATGATATTATCTTTAATCTAAATGCAGTCTCATCTTGTCCTTTACCCTAATTCTGGAAGTTTCAGTAGCTTTAGTTTCTACCTTGTAATTCCTAATGTGTTGGGAAATTCAATGGCAATACAATTATACTGTAGGAGTTAAAATCAAATTTAGCCTTCACCTGTAAACCAGATATAAACATGTTTCTGGATTCAGCTCTTGCTATCAACTTTTGCAACAATATGTTATGGTCCAGGAATTTAATTCACACACAGCCCAGTCCCATCTGTATAAGACTAACCTGGACTCTGACTAACTTTGAAGACTGGCATATTATAACACCTGGTTCTCCAAGATGGTAGGATGTGCTACAAAGCACACAAAAGGATAAACTGGACTGAGGCAGCTTGCACTGTTAATCAACATCAGCTTCTCTCTTAAACATGAGCCTGAAGCTGCCTTCTACCCACCAGTAAGTTAGAGTTTACAAGATTTCCCTTTGAAGATTTAGCTTGTCTGCAATAGATATTCTCTATGTGGAACAGCAAGCAGTTGTCTCTTTATCCTCATAAATTTAGATTAGAATTGTGACTCTAACTTCCTTCTAATGCCTGAGAAAAAGGGCAGAGATCAAACCACCAGGGGAGTCTGGGTCTCAGAGCACAAAAATTGTTCTTACTTGAAAGAGGGTATAGATTAATAAAATAATGAAGAAGAACAGTAGTTAAGTCAGAAAAGGAACTGGGCAAAACTACTCCACTGCTCAAATATGGCTATATATAATATACCTGCCTTTTTATCACATTTAGCTTGCATTCCTCCAGTCTTTGTGTGATTGAGAGGATTAATAGGTAGTTCAAGGGAAATAGGAGAGAGTAAAAGATATCAGAAATAAACATTAAAATAGCTTTGGCAGTGTATACCATTTAGTATTGTGAAACCTATCCACAAGTTATCACAATTTTCTCCAAAGGCACGTGTTATAAAAGACCCTGCCAATCCCCACACTTTTGTCTCCATGCGTCATTTGCGTGACTGGATGTGAATTGTTCAGAACACAGTTTTCTAATAACAGGAGCCAAATGCATATACTCACTGCTAAATGATTTTCTACCATGACTGCTGCAGATGATCTGATTTTTTTTATGGCATCCCTGCAGCAACCTGGATTTTAGCTGTTGGCTTTTGTTTGGTATTCAGCCAGCTTTTTTCACTGATTTCCAGAGCTGTTCTTTTTCCTTTAGAGTATGGTGAACTGAGACCTGAAATTAATACAGATTGATGGTCATTATTTTTAGGGGCATCCATATAGTTAGCCTTTTAGATTATGGCTTTGATAGAATGCTTGCTTTGGAAACAAAAGAAATATTTGTTATTATCAGTTCCCAGTTATTCCTAGACAAGACTACAAAAGATAAGAGTTAGCACTGCAGATAAAATTCAGTAATTAAGGAGGAGGAAATTATTTTGCAAAGGAAAAAGAATCACCTATGCTTAAAGGCCATGCAATACAAAATTTGAGTAAATACCTGAACGCCTGAGATGACAGACATACTCGGTTAAGCTGCTGTAAACAATCCTAAAAGTATTATTGTGCTATATGACTTTTTGCCTCTTTGTGTTATATTGACAAAGTGGATAGAAGCCAGCACCAATCAGTGTTTGCCATATGGTAGAGAAGGTATCTGAGATGCGATGGGTATTTCCTTCTGCAGAGAGGTCTGTGCTACGCCGGGGGCAGATGTTGATTGGGCGATTACTGCAGGGCACACCTATGAGGAGCATTGTGGCTTTAATATTTATATGTAGAAAGAGTTTCTAAACATTCACACTGTCATTTCATATGTGGGTGTTTCAAACCATATCTATTGTGGTTTATACAGTAAGTTTTATAGTCCATGCAAAGGGCATTCCAGCTTAAGCTAGGCAGATCAAAAGGAAGAGTATTTCTGTATAGTAAAGAATAGAAAAGATGCAACATTTCCATTTCTGAGAGTGAAGGAAGAATTTTAGTAAGTGGGGTAGGGTATAAATAAATATTTTAAATTTCCTGTGAGCCGCTGTTTCTTTAGTGAAGTCTGACTCATATATAACTCTGCTCCCTGGCCTTTGCTTTTCAGCCAAGGAAGAGCAGACTTGTCATAGACAACCCATTGGGGGCTGCATCTCCACAGGAGTGCAGAGATAGGAGCCTATTCTCTTCTCAAGTAGACAACGCTTTGAAATATCTCCTGGCTCCACAGTGAGGTCATGGAAATTAAAATTTGCTGTATTAGAAAATAAATCTGCACAGTTAATTAAATTAGAAATCCAGACTTAAAGATCCCCTCTCTCCAACTACATCCTGAGACAGAGAATTCGTTGTCCATTTTACACTGAAAGGAAAGTACAGATTAAAGAATGGTATAAGAAAATGTTGACTGCAAATCAGAAAATTTTGCAGCTGAAAATTTTAGGTGATGATTTTCAGAAGTCATTGCTTAAACTTAATGATGTAAGCTAATGGGTTCATGTTAAAAGTGCTGAACATTCAAAGTTCAAGCAGACTGTTAGGTTCTTAGCATCTCTGCAATTCAGGGTAGATACCAAGGTTTGAATCTGGTCCTGCTGAGGTCAATGGTAAAATTCCAATTAATTTCAAAAGGTCAGCATCTCACCTTCTATTTTGTAAAATCTTGATCATGCTGTTGAGATTTTCCACATGCAGTCATGTGCACAATATGAGGACTTAGAGATGCCTAATCAGGGCCTTGGTGTCTGTTGTGGTAGTCTTCCAAGGACATACATGTGGATGTAGGGAGTTTTCTTTGATCCCTCCTTAAATTTGAAAATAAGAGCCTGACCTAAAACTCAGCAGAACAGCAGATAAAGCTCTGGGCTGAATTACTTAGCTGGAAATGTTTAGCCAATGGAGTAATTCCCTTGGTTTGAACTTTTCTATAAGTGCTTTTCAATTATATCTTCCTATTTTCTGAAAAATAGCTTTTGAAAGGTACCTGCATTCTTCTCAGTGGGAATGGAAGGAGCTTAGCACATTTCAGCATGTTGCCCTGAAAAATATACTAGTAATTTCATGAAACCTATCTCTGTCTTATGCCACACTTCGCGAGGTTAAACCTGCATGTTTAAAGGTTAGAAAGCTGTATGACCTTCCACAAGCCCTGGACTCCTAATCCGCTTAGTAGCTCTTCAAATTTTACCTTCAGTTTCCTGCTTCCTTCTTTGTGCTTCCCCTCATACCTCCTTCAGCTTTTCACATCCGTAGTGAAGCCTGTCTCCTCTCTCATGGAGTACTATTTCCCAGCCTGTGATCCAGATCCTCACAAAAAGATAATCAGAGATGGGAAAGCAATGAACTTTTATTCCCTAGAAGGACTTGACATCAGTAAGATCGATACACTTTCCAATCTCCTCTTTCACTCAGCAGATAAGACTTGCGAGTAGATTGGCTTCTTTTGAAATGTGAAAGAAAAATGTTAGCAAAAACAGTTTGACACTGCCATAGTGGCAGGTAAGGCAATTATTTATAAGGAGCGAAATTTTTAATGTAAAATACCTATATTGGACCGGATGAAAATCTGTGCAAAACAGCCTCGTTGACTCTTCGCTGAAGAATTGATCTTTGTTGAAGGGAGCGTTAAGTGCTCATAGGAGCACATCTCCTATAATGCCTCAGTCTTACAAGGTTTACTTTGCCCCAGTATAACTGCCAGGTGGCTTGGTCTCACATGCAGTTAGTTCATAGAATCATTTGAGTTGACAGGCACTTCTTACGATATGTTACGTCATAATTTTTCTGATGCATTGTAGAAATATTGAGCTCATTATTCTCAAAATTCTTCTTAATGTCTGATCAGTCAGCATTAGCAGCTAGCTCCCTCGTGCAGGCACCAAGATCCATTTCTGAAGACCCCTCAGTCTTGCGAACTTCCAGCAGCAGATGCAAATCCAAATGTTACTAATTGAGTTATTTGGTATTTTGTAATCAGTCTCTGCTGCAGTCCATTATTTCTTATTGCCTTGTTGACTAAGGAGAAAAATTAATCCTTGAGCAGTTTGTAACGTCCTGTTTAAGTATTTGTAGGCATTTGTTGTCTTCCCTTAATCTCTTTCTAATCTGAGCAGATTCAGTTCTTTCAACCTTCCCTAATGGGGCTTCTTTTTAATTATTTTTAATCAGTTTGTTACCGTCCTTCAGGGGAAGCTTCACTTCTGAGTTAAATACAATACGGACAGTGCCCTGTCTCTAGAAAGGCTTTCATCTTTGTGTGAAATCTGCTTTCTGCAGCTGGAGCCCTGTGACACTGCATGCAGAACTGCCCACTGCAGCCTCAGTTTTACGTGCCTGGTCTCTCCACTCCCCTGCATCTAAGCAATCATGTATAGAAATGAAAACAGAGTGCAGAGCAAGTGCAAAACGCAACCATGCGTTGTTGCATTGGGCTATTCCTACTGCTGGGTAGTG